CCTCCAGTTCAACATGATGGCAATTGTAGTATCTTTCACACATGCTAGAGATAGGAGCCTATTTCTCTTCATTGCAATCACTTTGCCAGTATAGCTCTACACAAGAACTGCTCTTAAATGTTGACACTTTGTTTTTCAATTTGTTAAGTGCCTTAATTGAACTTGGTATAGGAACTCAAGAGAGAAATGTAATACAATGCTTTCAGTCTAGTATTTTTGATCAGTCTACCTATTCATGATCAGGTTTTCCAAAGATATTGTCTAAATTTTAAGGGTATTGATTTAATTTCCTCTTTGCAGCTGCCTTTTTATTCAAATTTGATTTTGGAGAAAAATCATTTGGCTACTCTACTTTTCCTAATGATGTGTTTTTAAATTGAGTTTTTAAAATGGTCTTCTATTGTACTTGTCGGTTATAAGGGTTGGTCCCGTGAAGAAAGCAGATAAAGGGAGGTGGCCAGCTTATGAACAGTAAGAGTTTCATTCCAGACTTGCGCCCCAGAGTCACTTTCAACACTGGAGACAGAGTAAGGATCTATCATCACCAGAGTAATTTGCAGAGTAATTTCAAATGAAAAATATGTTCTAGATCACATACAAATTACCTCCCTTACTATGCATACCACAACCAGTTCAAAGACATTTGACAGAAGAAAATATAATTCAGGTTTTAGCATTCACACAAATGTCACCCACTTAAGATTTCTTAGAACTGTTTAGCTGAGCTGTGCAGATTCTTAGAAAGGAGAGACATTTGAAGATCAGGACTTGTCAGACATCAGCAAGTACCAGTAAGTCAAGTCACAAGCAATTCTTTAAACAAGAATAAAATGCCTTCCTCCTTACAAGAGGGAGCACAGCTATAACTGTACTGCAAAAGCATATTTCCCCTCACTTACACACACGCCGTTCATCCAGCTATTCCTCACAAATCCATACAGTATTAGCTCTTTCTTTTCGCTTAAAAACTAGCCAATAATAATTTTTAAAAACTGCCCCAGGACATGTGTTGAATATTTTCATCACTCTGTTTAAACAAAAAGGACATCTGGGTAAAAATATTAACAGAAAATAAGTTATTATTTTTTTACTAATTTTCAAGGTATGCTAGAAGTCAGGCACCTTTCAACTGTGTTTTTCTTAAGAAAAGTTCAGGGTTATATAAGATGGGTACTATGCACAGGGTGCCTTCTGCTGCTAAGTAGACAACTTACATTGTCATACAAGGGGTGTGTGTGTGTGTGTGTGTGAAAAGTACCACGATGGACAAATTCCACCAGTCTTTAATCCAAGAACCATATACAATGTTAAAATAACTTACTAAATAAAAAAACAAACCCCATGTTAGGAAAAGGTCAAGCACAAAAAATCTGGGTATACATCACACCGTCAGCTTAGGAATAAAAGGTAAAGAAGAGATGATAAAGAAGTAACTAAAACTGGAAACCTTCTCCCCATCCATGATGCCAAGTAGGAATGGAACCCTGTGAGCAACCCAAAACCAGCCTTTCACAACTTGACATCCCTCCCATCCACCTCAAGACAGAAGTTGTAGTTTAAAACATCTTGAGATCAAAAAGTTGCTGTCTGCTCTAAGCTCTGGTCTTCAGCACTGAATAGAGATCCCCAAGAACTGCTCTGCCAAATTGAGCATTCTCTACGGTCTCACCCTAATCAATCTAAATGCCACTAGAATGAAGGCAGGCAAACATTGATATAGCCAAGATCATTCAAATCATGCCCTGACCATTTTATTGTATACAGACACTCTTTGGCACACATTTTCTGGTTTAGTGCCAACTACAGACATGAGAAATTCAAATCTGAATTTATTTTTAAACATCTCCTTGAAATTGGCATTTTAAAAGACACCCTTGCAGGAACATTTATAGTGAACTAGTGCCTGCCCTAGACCAAATGAGATGTATAAAAAATAAACCATGCACACATGAAATCCTTTAACTCAAGTAAAAATACTGACAAATGCTACTGACACACCTATCACAAACTACAATATTAGAATGTGTGTATGAAAGCTGATAGTGAGGATCTGAACTGCCCCAAGAGAACATTCCCTTACTTTACTTTACAAGCTCATCTTGTTGAATAAGCCTTTTCCAATCACAATGATTTACAGTGCCTCAGAGGAAGCCATTAAAACTTCAACAGTGACATAAAACTCCAAATGAACCTGAAATATGTTACGGACCAATATTCTAAAGGTATAATAGGATACAAGTTGAAGTTTAGAGAGGGAAACAGTAACAAACACAAAGTTGCATCTATACAAAAGCCAGCAGAATTTGTTTTTTAAGTTATACGAACAGTCTCTGAAATGTTAAGAAAATGTTAAGAGTTGACTAAATCACAACTAAAAGTGCTTAAACCTTTTTAAAGTATTTCTCTTTGCACTTAAAAATATTTTTTCCCATAGTAAGGACTCCAAGAGGACAATTTTTATTTGCATCTCATAGAAGGAGGAATGAAAACACCACCTTGTCATATTTAAGAATAAACCTTTATAAACAAGGCTGCAGAGTTACTTCAAAGCCATTCTTGCATTTATCCCATACATTTATATGGAAGCTGTTCCTTTCTGTATGAGGTAATGAGTAGTCCAGATTGTCACTGTGATTTATTAGCACATCCTCTCGCAGAAGCCCTGCACCTGCATTTGCACTGATGGAACACCCACGAAGGCGGATGGTTTATTAGGGACGGCTCATCCTCCAATCACCCACAGCATTTCAAAAGGAAGTGCTCCAAATTTAGACTTGCTCCAACAGGTGTCTTTTACTGACTTTCTTTGTGCAACTATAAATGTCTAAGGTGAGGCAGACAATTCACTGCCTGTAGTAATCATTCTTTGGAAACAGCTCCATCAACACCTTTGAAGGAGGAGGGGTGAAGGGAAGCCAATGGAGTTCTCATTCTTTTCCCAAACTCCTGGCTTGCCAAATACTTAGAAAGACTGAGTGTGATGAACTGAGGCTTCAAAGCACATATCAGATGTCCAGACCCAAACATCCATTTCACATATATCCCCAGGGTTTCATGCTGGGATAATGCAACACTTCTTCCTTTGGCACAAAGTACATGTTTACCCAACACTTAGGTCAGTTTACATATAAGGATTCTCTTATCTCAGCTAACTGGTATACATATAAAACCTGGCAAATAACTATGGAAATGAACAGGGTCTGTGTATATATGGAGGCTTGCACTACAGTGCTCTCCAATACTAGCTCTCCCTTGCAGAAAACTGGAGTCATATGGGATACATTGGGAATGAAGTTTTTTTTCTCATTTATTTATAGTTGGTAAATTGAAGTTCCTCCCTGCCTATTTAAAAAGGAATTTGATAGATACATTAAATTTCATAAAATCATAGAATTATAGAGTTGGAAAAGATCCCATGGCCCATCTAGTCCAGCCCCTGCCATGCAGGGAAAGCACAATCAAATTACCCCTAACAGGTGGCCATCCAGTCTCTGTTTAAAAGCTTCAAAGGAAGGAGCTTCCACCACACTCTGAGGCACAGAGTTCCACTGCTGAACAGCTCTTACAGTCAGGAAGCTCTTCTTAATGTTCAGGTGGAATCTCCTTTCCTGTAATTTGAACCATTGCTCTGATACCTAGTTTCCAGGGCAGCAGAAAACAAGTCTGCTCCCTCTTCCTTATGACATCCTTTTACATTTTTATACATGGCTATTTGAGAATCTGAGATAGATAATTCAAAACTAGAAGAAGCAGTGTAACTTAATGTGTGAACTATTTTGCAGTATTGGATTGGACTGAATGTTATTAGATAAGATACTTTTCTATTCAGGAAAGAAGGCTAGTGAGGAGGCAGGTTTTACAGACGAGGGAACAGGAATTGACTCCAGAAGAGAACTACTCTTGGGATTAGGCTTCTCTCTGTGAAATTGGCATGTTCATATACAAAATCCCTTCCAGTTTTTCCCTTTATTCTTTCAGGGGGGCAGGTGGACAGAAAGGATACTTGTGAGTATAGGAGGGAGTCTGTTCCATTAAAGCTGTTCTATTAAAAATAAGAAAGAGAAAAGGAAGAATTTCTATTGCAATCACATAGAAAACATGACAATAAAAATGGACAGATGTTGATAAGATTTGGTAAGATTGTAGTATGCCTTCATTTCAATTATGTATTGCACCTAAAACAAAAATTTATTCTTGTTGCGATATCTATGAGATATGCATTTTTATGCTTGACCCTCTCCTAACAGTGACTTCAGTTTATAGTCAACTATTAATAACAAAGCATTAGAATAAAATTAGAATGTGAAATTTTAAAAGCTCTGCTGTTGGCTTTCTAACAACAGAGGGGATGAGAAGTCTGGATGAAGAAAGAAATATTGTAGCAGGAATGAGCTATGTAGGAAAGGAGAGATGACAGGGCAGTCGCCTAGATCTTTCAGCAGCTTTAAGTCCTGTCAATCATGGTATTCTTCTAGTTTGGATGAATAGGGTGGGAACTAGAGACATCATATTGTTCCTGCATTCTTGCCCTTCCCATGACTAGAGAAAGCTAAATAAAACATTAAAGGTAGGGGGAAAGAATGTGAGCTGAATAAATTTCTGGCATTTATTTATAAAATCGATACATATAGAAATAAAAAAATAGCTGATGCTACTCTAATATATTTAAATGTGGCAGTGAGCTTTAGATTACAATTGTATGTTTTTAATATTTTATATATTACTTTAAAATGTCTTCAATTGTATGTTTTTAATATTCTATATATTGCTTTAAAATGTTCAGAGCTGTCTTGAAATCAGCAAAGATTTTTAAATACTTGAGAACAAAATTAAGTCTTCTTTGAGCACAAGTTATGGACTCAAGTTTTGCATACTACACACAGCAACTACCTATCAATATTTATTTTCCTTCCACTTTCTTTAGGAATCCATGCTTTCAATATCTTTGATTATAGTGCCTCAAATCAAATAATTAAGCAATATAGTGCCCCAAAGCTTACTTCTGAAGGATGGATCTCTTAATGACAATTTCTTCATCAAGGTCTGCTTCATTGGCCATGAAGAGCAACCGCTTTCCTGAGCCATCCACTCCAATAAAGTCACGCTGCTCCACTGAAATGTAACATCAGAATGGAACCATTTTACAGTTGTGCTTTAATGAAATCTTGTGACAGAAGGACTGGTCACACATTATACTTCAAATACAGAATACCTAAAAAGCCAGCCGTTTTGTCTTTTCATCAAAGCTGAGAGTATTTCTGAAATTCTGGCACACAAACTTCTTTTGGGGGAGGCTTCAAAGAAAGATCAACAACCATCTTCTTTTTTTTTTTTATTGATTTGTGGTGCATACAGAAAACAAAACCGACACCAAAGGAAAACCGAAATAAGTAAAAAGTAAAAAAAAAAGAGAAAAAAAACAGAAAAAAAGAAAAAAAGAAATACAAAAGAGTATGCCAGTTAGCAGAATGGTATACAGTCAGCGCTCATTAAACATATAAAAAATCAGCTTTGACTGTACAGTTATAATACATTAACATTTATTGTCCCTCTAACCCCACACCCGTGAACCCAACCCCTGTGACCTCCGACACCACTCCGTATGGATCACATAACTAACCCGCAACTACCCACGTATCTTCTTTCACTGAATCCCCTTTATGGCAATCTTCAAATCTACTTTTGTCTTCTTTTCAAGATATCCAATTGCCAACCGCCATTTTTCAACAAATTCTTCATTATTTCCACCTCTGCTGCTATTTGTCAGTTTGGCCATTTGGATATAGTCTACTAATTTATCTCTCCAATCCTTAATATTTAACTCTTTTTCCCCCTTCCACGATTTAGCTATTATTAGTCTCGCAGCAACAAAACAATACTGACAAATTTCTTCATCTCCTGTGCTAATACGCCTCCTAAATATTCCTAATAAGCACATTTCTGGGTTTTTCTTGATTTTTTGCTGATCATTTTGTTTGTTTCTTTCATCACTTTTTTCCAGAATTCTTTAACTATGTTACAGGTCCACCATACGTGGAAAAAAGATCCCTTCACCTTCTTGCATCTCCAGCAAGCCCCTTGTCCTGTTTTCTCTATTTTAGCTAGTACCTCTGGGGTTATATAGGTTCTGTAAAACGTTTTAAACATATTTTCTCTAATTGAGCTGGCCACTGAGAATCTAAAGCCCTTATTCCAAAGACATTCCCACTCTTCCAGATCGATATTTCTGCCAACATCTTGGGCCCACGTGATCATAACGGATTTTATTTGGTTGTCTACTAAGTTATATTCTAAAATGTATTTGTCAAGTCTGGATATTAGGCCTTTGTTGCCCTTCTCGAAAATACTTTCTAACTCCGATTTATTAGAGGCAAATCCTAGTTTTGCATCCTTCCTAAATCTGTCGTGTAGTTGGAAAAAACTGAACCAATCTTTTAACCCAGATTCTTCTCTGCTTTTAAGTATCCATTGTCCTTTCTCATTGACCAAATAATCCTTGTATGTGCCGGAGTCAGCATGTGTGGCCGGTCTCTGGACTGCTTCCAATGGGCACAGCCATAGGGGGTTTTTTGGCTCCATACCCTTCTTATATCTTTTCCATGTTGCTAAAAGGCTGGCTCTTATTACATGCCCGTTGAATTCTTTGTTCACCCTGTCCTTATAATCCCATAAATAGGCGTGCCATCCGTATCTTAAATTATGGCCCTCTAACTTAAGCAACTCCTTATTGTCCATTTTAATCCATTCCTTTAGCCAGCTGAAATTTGCAGCTTCATAGTAGTACCTGAGATCTGGCAATGCCAGGCCCCCTCTGTTTTTCCCATCAATAAGGTTCCTGTAGGCAATTCTTGCTTTTTTCCCTTTCCAAATGAATTTGACCAGATCTCGTTTCCATATTCCAAACACCTTTACTCCCTTAATAATTGGAAGGTTTTGAAACAAAAACAGCATTTTGGGCAATACTATCATTTTTATCACTGCTATCCTCCCTAACCAGGTGAGTTGAAGTCTTTGCCAATTTTCCAAATCTCTTTTTATCTCCTTCCAGGTTTTGTCGTAATTATATTGGTAAAGTTTACTATTTTTGTTACTTAGCCATAGTCCAAGATATTTTACTTTGGGGACTACCTTACAATTAGTTATATTCTCCAATTTAACAATATCACTTTTAGATAGGTTCTTAGTTAGAAATACAGATTTCTCCTTGTTAATTTTAAAGCCTGACACAACACTGAATTCATTAATAATTTCCAATAAGGCATGTATGCTTCTTAAAGGTTCCCTTAAAAAACAGACCAGATCATCTGCATATGCCTTCCCTTTAAATTCATACCCTTTTACTTTAATTCCTTTAATTTCATTAACTTCTCTAATTCTATTATTCAAAATTTCTAATATCCAAATGAACAGTAAGGGCGACAAGGGGCAGCCTTGTCTTGTCCCTTTTTGAATTTCTATATAATTTGACATTTGATTATTTATTTTTAATTTGGCTTTTTGCCTTGAATAAATAGCTCCTATTGCCTTCCTGAAATTTTGACCTACTCCGAAATGGTCCAATACTTTAAACAACCATCTTCTGTGGCCCTGCAGCTACCTGCATCGGTAATTTGAGAGAGACTTGCAGAGAGAACAAGCTACAAAATACTCAGTGGCTTTTAAGGTTTGTGTCATATTTTTTTCATTTCATCTGTATGACTATTAAAAAATAATAGTGAAAATATCATTCCAAAATATTTCCTCTCCTCACCAAAATCCAGTTGGTTCCTGATTCATGACATTATTGTTTCATACAGGAATATTCATAAACTGCTAGAATCTTGGACAACTAGCATCTGAAGAAAATCCAGAACTAAATCATCTCTCTTTAAAAGTGATAGCACCAAGGTTAAAGCAGAAGACAAGACTGTACAAGCAAAAGGCGAGAACAATTTCATTCAAAAAGAATGAAGAGGGAGGTATTTTTGTTAAATTGGCACTGCAAGCATCATGATGTATGTCACTATATCGGACAGGTTTTGGGTGTTTTTGGGGTGGGGTTAATTGACAATTTATACTTGGTATGTGTTGTCAAGGGTTTCAATGGCTAGAATCACTGGGTTGCTGTACGTTTTCTGGGCTGTATGGCCATGTTCCAGAAGCATTCTCGCCTGATGTTTTGTCCACATCTATGACAGGCATCTTCAGAGGTTGTGAGGTCACAACCCTCACTACCTCTGAGGATGCCTGCCATAGAGGAGGGTGAAATGTCAGGCGAGAATGCTTCTGGAACATGGCCATACAGCCCAGAAAACTCACAGCAACCTATACTTGGTATTTTATCATTGATTCAAGCTAATTCAAATTTGGTCCCAAACTAATCAACTTTGCTGCTACAAAAATGGAGTAGAATCAGCAGATTCTGATGCAAGAATATACCACAAAAGTAAGTTATATGAAGCTGATTAAAGAAAATTCCATGATGACAGCTGATCATGGAATTTCTTTTTCTAAAATGGGAATACTGAATAGGATAACACTAACAACACAAAGACTTTAGTAGATTATGTCCTGTATAGTGTAATAACTATCATATTCTGCAACAGCTGCCAATCCCTGCAACAGTTACAATTCTGAATAAAGCACATCCACTTGCCTAGCTTTTTCTTTCCTTTTTGTCCTGGCACAAGTTCTGTGGGTTCATAGGCTTTCTTCATCAGCATGGAGAGTGTAGCATCATGGGCACGAAACAAGTCAACTACTTCATGAAGAGCAACATCGGTAATCAGATCGCAGCTCAGCACCAGCACATCTGTCTGTCAAAACAGAGAAGATATTATATAAAACACACACATGCATACACCCCTACCTCAAATCCCAGTATTACGAAATAAACAACAAAGCCTCCCTGTGGTCTACAACAACAAAACTAACATGAATGGGACATAATACCTGTATTATTATGATACGGATACTGTCTCACCATATAAGGTTTAAATATTTTGTAATCTAGCAACACTAGCAATGTACGCATATTTATTTATTTATTTACTTTACTTGTATACCGCAGTTTCTCAGCCTAACGGCGACTCAACGCGGTTTACAACAAAGGTACAACAATCAACAATATACAATTTAAAACCACAGAAACATAATACACAATATTGACACAGCAATAACAACCCAATGCATCTCATAACTAAAATCATGATCCAGTTTCGTCGTCCTTATTACCATTCCTGTAATCATCACGTTCATTGCACCGATTAACCAAATGCCTGTTCGAACATCCAGGTTTTTAATCTTCTTCTGAACACCATCAGCGAGGGGGCTGATCTTACCTCCATGGGAAGGGCGCTTGTCATGAAATCTACCTTTGAGACGACAGGGCCGAAGCCTGCATGACAGTGGCTGTCATCTTGGAAGGCAGGCAGAGCAGGAGGAGGAGTCAAGCCGACTCCTGATTGGGTATAGCAATTAGGGGAGGAGTCGGTTGTGAGAGGGAAAAGAAGCTGTCAGCTTTTGACAGAGAGGGAGAAGGGTCTTGAGATCAGACAGGGAGAGAAGTGTTTTGACAAGGGAGAGAGAAGGAAGGGATTTTTAGGAGAGGAAGCTAGATAGAGCAGGGATCTGACAGAAAAGGAAGAGCTTTTAGTGAGCCTTAAGTTTAGGGAATAGGCTGAGACAAAAGACTAGGATTTTACTGTGTTGGGAGAGCCAGTAAAAGAAAGATTTGTCTCCTTATACTTGGAATAGTATAAGGGAGCTTACTGCCCTGTGGTGGAGACAGATAGGGATCTGTTCTCAAGTGATACTGTGTCTAAAGATAGAACAGTATGTTTAAGGAGTCTCACAGTTGTTAAAAGCTTTTCTGTCAGGGGAACTATTTGTTTAAGTAACCAAGTTTCTGCAACTGAATCACGCTTCTGTACCACTCATTTCTATGAGTTGTTGTTAATATAAAGTTCCATAAACTCTTTCTAGTTAACTTTCAACTGGTGTATGCCTCAATCTATCCATTTCCTCAGAACTCACTCTGCCAAACCCATTTTGAAGTCCAGTCATCCAGGGAAGAAACAATAGAAGAATCAAGAGCTCAAACACCCCTTACCTATAACACATTCACACCTTTGGTTCCTCAGGCCAATAATTCTGAGGTGGTGGCGGCTAATACTACCAAGAACATTCGGTCACTTGTATATATAACATAGGATCAGCCTTAATTTCGCTATATTGGTGGTAGCGGTGGGATTGATTGTTTGTCCACCCTGCCTAGATATCCTTTAATTTTGTTATATTGGTGGCAGCGGTGGGATTGATTGTTTGTCCACCCTGCCCAGACAACCTTTAATTTCGCTATAGTGCTCCATAGCCGAGGGGCCGCCACAGAAAAGGCCCTGTCTCTCGTCCCCGCCAGCCACACCTGTGAAGCAGGCGGGATAGAGAGCAGGGCCTCCCCAGGATCTTAGGGTCCTGGTGGGCTGATAGGCCGAGATACGTTCAGATAGGTAGGTTGGGCCAAAACCGTTTAGGGCTTTAAAGGCCAACGCCAGCACTTTGAATTGGGCCCGGTAGCAAATCGGCAGCCAGTGGAGCTGGTGCAGCAGAGGAGTTGTATGCTCCCTGCGCTCCGCTCCTGTTAGTATCATGGCTGCCGAGCGCAGCTGCTTGGGAGTCAGCTGCATTAAAAAATCACTACTGACCGGAAGGGTTAGAGAAAGCTCCTGACCATTTGTCTAGTTTGTTGTCAACCTTTGCAGCCCGAAAGACAGTTGCATCTGTCAAGTAGGAAATTTAGGTACTACTAATGCAGGGAGACTAATTTGACTAATTTACACGCCATAAAAATCTCCATCCATGTGCAAAAGAATGAGGAAGTACTCCATAGGTCACAAGTGATGGTGAAGCAACAGCTCCCTCGGTGGCCAGAATTCAAACATACCCTCATGAAGCTGGAAAGTCAAATAGCCTCTGTATGTCTGTCTATATATGTTGTGTGGCTATGGCATTGAATGTTTGCCATGTATATGTGCATTGGGATCTGCCCTGAGTCCCCTGCAGGGTGAGAAGGGCAGAATAAAAATACTGTAAATAAATAAATAAATCCAGGTAATTCTCCAAAGATGGCATCCCACAGACCTGTTCCACTACTTAAAAGGTTCTTTCTTTGATAGTTAGCAGGTACCCATGCACCCAATAGAAGTGACAGGACTCTGAGAAGATTCTCAAAATATGACCCCAGTAATAGGGTGGAAACACATGGGAGCAAGGTGCTGTTTTTGATGGATTGGTCACAAATGTTCTTTTTTGACTACAACTCTTAGAATTCAATGCCTGAGCTAATTGGGGGGATTCTGAGAATTTCAATCCAAGAAAATATGCTTTTCAAGCTCTGGTGTCTCATCTCATATGGCTTTTTAAAACTATTATTCAGAGGGATGTCTTAACCATTACAACAGCATGCAATTTGCTTACTCCAGAGTAACTCCACTAAAGTAAAACTGTTATTTGTAAAGCGAAAATAAAAAAGAAATCAAATTAAGACAATTGTACATGTTTGTAAAGTGATCCTGATAGGGCCAAGTCTTTAAAGTGGTGAATGTGAAACTTGCCAATATCACTCTGACAGCACAAATAAATTGACAAGAAATGTAGCTGTATTTTATAACCTACACTATACATTTTCTCAAAGGGCACTTCTTTATTTTAAAGCTGAAAAGCATTCTCACCAGTGATCAAAGTCTGTTGAGTCCACAGACATGCTGTTAGAAACAGCTATCTGGACTTGTTAACTCCATCTTGTAATTATTTAACTAATATACTTTAATCTGTCACCCTAGTAAACTGCCAACAAGGCTTTCATAATTGTGAATGGGCTTCTCATTTTAGGATGAACTTTGGCAAAGACTGAATGCAAGCCCCCCTGAGGAGTGCAAGGGAACAGAACCACCAAATGTCTGGTTGCCATCTGTTCTACCCATTTACTCTCCCAATATGTAAATAAACGTCAGAGAGTACAGGGACCAGTGAAACATACGGTTGCTAAGGAAAGCCCACATTTCTGCCTCTCCTCCTGATGAGCAGAGCAGTGGCCTCAGATACATGCTGAGAGTACACCATGAAAGACTCTTTTGGGATTCAACAGCCTCCCCTTTGAAACACCATCACCCTCATAAATAAAGCCCTTACTGTCTGATGGATGCCCCTTTTCCAGTGTGGAACCCCTGAAAGAGTAAACTAATGGCTGAATGAAAAAATAAACCTGGCAAGCACCCTAGTAGAGGATTGTATTTTCCTATACTTTCTGTGGTTGATGCAGTAGAAAGAAAATAAATGCTACAGCATGCACTATGTATACTATAAAATTCTAGCACACCTTTGTTGATAGGTCACTGACAATAGCACACAGAGCAGACAGCCATTTGGGAAGACAGGGTGGAAATGTAATCCCTACTTGATTTCCCGATTTCTACAATCATGAAATATATCGGTAAAGCAAGCCTTGAATCTGCCATATTACTTACATTAACCTTCAGTTATTAAGAAGACAGAGAGAAAGCAAATGGTAATTTATACCATTAATTTAATTAATACTAATTAATGTAAATAATTCTTTATAAGCTTGTTTATCACAAAATTGAATTTGGACGCCAGTTGACACTTTATAAAATGTCCTGTCAGGAATTTTAGGAGCTGAAGTACAAAGCACCTGGAGAATCAAATGTTGGGAATCACTGGTTTCAAGTAATGTCACACTACTAGAACTGCAAGGCAAAGGGCTAGAATTCAAATCCCACCTTTCCACTGAAACAAAACATCCAATAAAATTTATATCAAAAATTTAAACACAAACTGGAATACAGAAAACATATAAAAGTAAATGACCAAACATGTTACCTTTCAAATGTCAAACAGACTGAAGTTCCATTAGAGAAAGCTTAGTTACATTATAGTTATATTACATTACTATTCAGATTTTATAAGTCAAACTAAATTATTCCTGATCCTGTTAGATTGCTCTGTTTTAATGATATTTCCTATGCTATTATACATTTTCATCCACCTTGTTGAACCAATTACTCTTTAATCAGCCTGTATTTTGGCCTCCCCCCACCCCCCCCCCCCCCCCCCAGTTCTTTTGTTGCTTGATGCTTGTCTATTATTGTTATGTTTGTTTTATGCTTTTAAATTGCATTTTGTTATTGCTCTGCTTTTAATTGTATGTTCCCTGGGCTTGGCCCCATGTAAGCCACCCCGAGTCCCTTTGGGGAGATGGAGGCGGGGTAGAAAAATAAAGTTCTTCTTCTTCTTCTAGTTTGATCCACTAACATAATGCTTTCAAGAAAAAGTCCCAGTGGAGAAAACATTCTCAGATGAAGTAAGATTCAGTCTCTAGCCCATTTGAATATATACATTTAACCTAACAAGCCTTAATTATGAGTAGACCTGTAAAAGATGAATCTTTAAATCTACATATTACATCATACTGATATTTTCACTATCACAGAGAACACAATAAATTTCAAATTCCTATTTTATATGAAAACTCAGGTATTGACACTTTTACTTCTTCTAATCCAAATAGGGTTGGATCATTTGCAAATTTACTCATATTTAATTTTCTGCTTTAAAATCTTTAGCAAGTCAACAGCTCTAATGTATACAGTAGGCCTGTGCAATCAATAAAAAATGTTTCCATACTCATTACTAAATTGGGGGTGTGGGTGAAGAGTTTCTAAAGGGTTTCTACAATATAACTTTTTTTTTGTTAAATAATTGCGCAAGTGGGGAAGCTTCCAGGGCTTCTTTCTCTCTC